TTTTTTTATTGCATAATTTCAGGAAGCTGTGGATGAAGCCGGCAGAGAGGTTTGGCTACCAACGGAACTTACTGGAAGCTTCGCAAGAGCCAGGCTTCGCCAACATGGAAACCTGGACCTGTGGTGCTGAATGGCACTTAAAACAGGAGATTAAAAAAAAAAAAAACAGTAATATAATAAAGAGGAATGATCCCCGTCGCCTCTATACCTAAAATGATGAACTGTATTCATGTTTTTACACTAATCCATGCATTAATATATCTGGGAGGCAGAGGAAAGGAGGGCTAAAGAAGCATAAATGAACCTCTTAATACGACTCATTTCTGTTAATGTAGAGGTGAGATGCCGCCATCAAACAAATGAAGACTGATTTAGATGAAGCCGGATGTCTTTCCAGCCTTTTTGTCTACTGCTTGTCCATGATTTAGACCTAAAATAATCATTCATAATCCAGAAATCTTCCATTTTTAATCTCTGCCCTTGACAAAACTGTGGGTAAAAAATCATGCTCAGGTTACAATAAAAGCCACTCTCCGTGTTTATTATACAATTTAAGTGTTAAAAATGACGTGAAATATTCTACTCAGGCTCTTTTTTTTTTGGCTTCCTGCTGAGGGACTCAGAACATCCCGTTCTGACACTTGGCGGTTTTCTCCTGGTTTGTTTTGAGGTGTGTTTCAGGTGAACTGGTGGAACTGTCAGTGGGTCTTCATGTGTAAATGTATCTGTAAAGTCGGTGTGTGTGTTTTCTGTTACACACGGTTAAATCTTGTTGTCCTGTCGGCTCATTTGAAAAACACTTGACTGCTCGTTTAGGAGAGAAGGGAGGAATTTAAACGCTGACGGACATGAAATGCGTCTCTTGGATCTTTTCTGCTCTGTTGATGCAATGACGTAGTTTTATTGATGTTTCAACAATGGACTTCATTAATGAAAAGAGGCTTCTGTTAAAACCCCTGTGAGATGTTTTTTCTTATTTTGTTTCAAATAAAAAACTTCTTAATCAATGTTGTGTTTGCGACCTTTTTTAGTTGACTGAACAAACAAAATATATATTTTTACATTTAAAATATTCTCAGCTTTACTATCTCATCACGTACTTACAATTATTTAAGCTAACTATTGGTCTAGCTAACAAAGCTGTAGGCCAGGGGTGTCCAAAGTGCGGCCCGAGGGCCATTTGCGGCCCTTGAGGGGATTTTTTGCGGCCCGTGACTTCAAATGAAGAATCAGAAGATTTTATTGATTAAGATTGGCACGTTATCTTATTTTTATTTTTCATGTTAACAAGCGCTGAACAATATTCCTGAAACAGAAAATGTTCAGTAACATGTATGTTGTTGTTTTTTTAATCTACAGATTTTATTATTTTCCACATTTTTTTGTAAACTATGAAAAAAAAAAAAAAAAACGTATGCAAAGTTTTAGCAAACAAGCGGACTGTTGTTTAACCATTTAATGACCTGAGCTAAATGAACCACGTTACAGGCTCTGAGAAAAAAAACAAATAAAGTAGAACGAAGAAATCTAAATATTTGATTTCCTTTTATTAAAGGGTTTCTTTAGATTCTGATCTACAAAGTCTTACTATTTTTTCAACTATATTTAAAAAAAACCTGTGGCCCGCGAGAGATTCTAACACGACAATTTTGGCCCGCAAGAAAAAAAAGTTTAGACACCGCTGCTGTAGGCTAAGCGAGCACATTGATGTTTACTGTAACGTAAGCTAGCTATCTGTGTTAGCGAGGTAACGTCAGTATCCAACAATATTATTAACTAGTTGTGACATAGCTAATGCTAGCTTGTTGTACCATAAAATAGTGGTCGTCTTAAAAGTAGTTTTTTGTGCACATTTGTCTAACGGAGTAACCTCATTAAGATTTACTTTATTGATCCTGCAAGGGGAAAACTGTAAATCATGAACACACACACACACACACTAATGGAGAGACATGAGGGTGATGGGGCGGCCCACAGCAGGCGCTCCTGGGCTGGTGGTGGGGAGGGGGTTTGGTGCCTTGCTCAAGGGCACCTCAGCGGTGCTCAGGGGATGATCTGGCACCTCTCCAGCTCCCAGACCAACTTCCAGATTTGGTCTGCACTGGGACTTGAACCGGTGACCCTCTGGTTGACCCCTAAGTCCCTACAGACTGAGCTACTGCCGCCCACTCTTGAAGGACTTTTTAATATTTATTCATCAAGGCAAACACGTTCGTTTGGATTTGAATAAATCTTTATTAATCTTTCTTAATTCCAGATCATTTACAGAACAAATCTTCGTTCACATTTTGTACACATGATTTATAAAAGCATTCAGCCTGCTCTCTCTCTCTCTCTCTCTCTCTGATGTAAACAGTGAAGTTACAGTGAGGTATTCATGAAACAGACAAACAGCGCCCCCTGTCGGCTGCTTTCAAATCCTCATTCGACAAAGTTAAAAGAAGAATTGCATAAACCATTTTTCAGAGTTAATCAGTAAACTTTAGAACGATGTACCATCATTTTAATGGCAAAAAACTTTTTTATTTATTTAATGTTTTCATGTATTTTGTATGAATAATCGTTTGACCAGCGTTTGTGTGACTGTCAAATAATGGAAACACACACATGCAGATCACAAAGTGACCACTGACCTTCCTGAAAGTGAGATTTAATCAGAATTTGACCTGCCAAAATCAAAATCAATGTTTCCCAGAAACTGTGATAATGATGAAAAACAGATAGGTGAATGTTCACAGGCTGAGTCAGTTCTGATCTCCCACAGTGCCTCCCTGCAGCTTTTTAAACATTGTGCATGAGTGATCAGGGGAAGTGTCCATGAACACAAAGTGAAGCTTTAACCTGTTGATCTTCAAACTGTAACTCCATCAGAACAGTCAGGTGAGTAAAATCCTTCTCAGTCCCACAATGTGTCGAACGGATAAAGACCTTTTTTTTTTTTTTGCTTCAGTAACATCATTTTATCATTTTTTATTATTTTTTTTGCTTGATATAGAGATACAGTTTGGCTTTCATCCTTTCAACAGTCACAGCTGAAAACTTTCAGTCTCTTTAGGGTTCCCGTCCACAGTTTCTTGAGGTGAGTCCAGGATTCTTCAGCTCAGGTGTAGCTCGGATAAAATGGAAAAGATTCCTTGGCGCCATTACAGGAAGCTAACGATATAGTCTTTTATTGTATTTTAAGAAAAACAGGAATCATGTGGAGAGTCAAATATCCAAAAACAAAACAGAAGAAAAACAGAAATGTTAAATAAGTGTAAATCATACTGACTGAAAGTCTAACAATTTAAAACACACAAAAACGGCTTCTTTTTACAATTCGTTCAAATTTCTTTATCAGTTTTTACACGTTCGATGATTCAGGATTAAATATAATAAATATGAAGGATTGTAAATTCTGTTATTGTTATGGAAAAACTATTGCTTAGAAGTAGCTCCAATTATATAGTGAGTCATTATTAGAAGCTTTTAGACAATAATATTATAATCACTCATAATCCTGATGGACCTTCTCGTTATTAGAAGCTAATTGGTAGTGTTGTAGTCAAGACCTCAATAACCAAGACCAAGACATACCCGAGACGAGAGAGCCCCGAGACCAAGACAAGACCAAGACATTTAGAGATCAAGACCGAGTCAAGACCAAGACCAAGGCAAGGCGGGACAGAGACCAAGACCAAGACCAAGACCAAGACCAAGACCAAGACCATTACATATCAATGAAAAATCATCATCTTGTGTTTAGGGGGCGTGTCCCTCACTGCCAAAAATCTAATTATGAATGAATTGAAGTTATTTGTTCTTTTAGAAAGGAGCGTTTTCCTTCTAATCACAGTGATGGCCAATCAGTGGTGGTCTTGATTTAAAATCCAGAGTCCGCCCAGTCTGAGACCGAGACAAGACCGAGTAAATATGCTTTCCAACATAGCCGGAGACAGATCATCTCTACTTCTGTGTTTTACGCCTGCTGATGTGTATGTGGTGCTCCCTCTAGAGGGGGCTGGGCAACTTTGGTCACATTTAATTCTCACCGCCAGAGGGCCAAATTGTACTTTTCAAAAACCATTACAGTCAATTTTGTCTCAAATTTAACTCGACATATACCAGTGATCTAATATTATTATGGACATATTTCAGGTTTTCATGATTTCATGGCAGATTTCGTCATGTTTTCTTCATGTTTCCAATTAATTGATATGTAAAAATTTACCTGAGGGCCACGTTGAGGTTTGATGGGGGCCGCATGTGGCCCCTGGGCCGCCAGTTGCCCACCCCTGGTCTAGAGGAATCCTCCAGTAACACATGAACATGAACGCGTACGCTTGGTTCAAAAGAAAGTGTATCTGAGCCCTTCACACAAAATGTTACCCATCTTTTTTTTGTCGCATTTCGAGAACAAAGTAGAAACGTCAAACTTCTTCTTATGATTTATATCTTCTTACTCCATGCACTCACACTGAATGTTCCTCTTTTTATCCTGCACATTTTTAACCTTCTTCTCTTGAAGCAAAAGGGGGAAAAAGTTCCTCCTCCTCTTGTGTTCCTAAATCTCCTCTGTTGCATCCCCATCTTTTATTGGATGCATTTAAAATTCTCTCATAATGATGAGAAAGTTTGTCGTTATTATAAATACATCAGTTTGCATTATTTAACTATCAGGGTTGATTTCATAATAAAGGCATAATATTTCAGGAGTAAATCAAAATAAGAAATAAAGAGGACTTATAAAACTCTAAACAGAGATGATTTCATGATCAAACATAAAATAACATGAAGATTAAAAAAGTCCTTCAGATATTGTGAGAATAGTTTTTTTTTTCTTGTATAATAATTCATTATTCTTACGATCACTCTCAGATTTTCTCGACCTTTGAACCACGTTCACCTCACAGGAGTTCATTGGAGTTCCAATAATCTTGAAATTGTCTTTTTATTGGCTGAAATGTGAGGCGAGAGGCGGGGCTTCCTGGTGTTTCTCAGACCCGTTCAGACGTTTCTGCATCAGTGAACGTCAGGGATAAAAACCCTCTTTTCTTCCTTTTTTTATCTCTTTGTCTTTTAAAATTTTTCAGTTAAAAGAGAAAAGATTTCATTTGATGGTTACTTGTCGATATGTTCAGTGACGTCGGCCGATGTTACTTCCTTTTTCAACACTTCAGCTGGAGGGAAGAAAAACTCGTTCCATAAGTGGTTCAAATTTAAAAACTGATGTATTGAAAGTCAGAGGGAAGTTTCCCATGAGCAAGGCGTGTGACCTCCGCAACAAGAAGACGGAGGTCGTACAGGCGAGGGTCCAAATCCTCCGATTTATCCCCCCGGATTAATCCTCCTCGAAAACAGTCGAACAATGGAAGCAGTGCTCGATAACACAGATCAGATTTTGCTGTTTTCCAGGTGAGAGTCGATGTGTTTGATCAGGGCGTCGTCAGGGTAACCGGTGGGGAAGGTCAGCTGACACAGGGGGCAGCTTCGGACGGCGCTCTCTTCAGACTCCATCCATAACTGAGAGACAGAGGAAGACACAGGAAGTCAAAACACGAGAAAGAAACATTCAGAATGTGTCCGTCTGTGATCTGACGGGTTGCACAAAAATGAATTTTGTTGTTGTGTTTAGCGGAGTTAATCACGATTTTAAAGACGGGATTAAGTATAGTGACACTTCATGCCACCACATAAAGTCAGAGCCCCAGGTGGTAAAGCATTCCTCGTTTTGTTCCCCTGAACAGAGAAGGCTTTTTGTCTGAGTGAAGATTTAAGAAACGTCACTTTACACTCTCCGTTAGATTCTCCTCGCGTTACAGAGTCTGATCATCTTAAGAAGAACCACGAGGTCACAGAACACCGGAGGAGCAGGATGATTAGAATGTTTAATAATATGATCAAAAATTAACAAATTTTACTTTTTTTGAATTTGATTTATTTAACCAGGAAAGAAACTCAAAGAGATTAGCAGATTGAGCAGCCAATCTTTCAAATACAAAATACATTAGACATTAAAGGACACAAATAACAAATCTGAACAACAAAATGTTTGTCAAAAATCATCCACAAACACATCAGGAAGAACATCTACAGCCAGATGTGTCGGCCTCCAAATCATTTAACTTCCTCTTAAAAGCGTCCAACGAGAGAAGTTCATTAAGTTTCAGCTCTTTTTGTGATTCGTTCAAAGTAAAGGGAGCAGAAAACTTAAAGCCCTTTTTCCCAGTTCAGTTCAGTTCAGACTTTTGGAACAGACATTAAGAAAAGGTCCTGAGATCGAAGATTATAAGTCCCTGCTGGTGAGGAGAAATCTAAATATTTGTCTTAGATTGGAGTGAAGCCGGTTTCTGTTTGTTGGTTTGATTGTTCTCCAACTGTTTCATGTTTAAAGGAGGAAAAGTCTTTATTCTAAGCTGCTTGTTGGACCTGTAATCAGCTTGTGGCAGCTCGTTTCTGATATTTAAGACAGAAAACACCTTGTTTGGTTCTAAAGAAACATTTTTATTTATTTTTCTGTTCGTCTACTTGACTGAATATTTTTCCTCTCGCAGACTGTCATCGGCTTTATTTTGATCCTCGTCATGTTTCCTTTACTCACGTTGATGGAGGGCCACGACTGAGCATGCTCAGTGTTCATGTAGGGAGGCAGATGGCAGGAGAGGGTGGCAGGACCCTCGGGGGCCGAGAAGGAGGGGTGGTGGGGCTGTTTCCTAGGAGACGGGAAAGACGGGTGTAGAGGCTGCTCCCTGGGTGACGACGAGCCGATCCCGACGGCGCCAAGCGTCCGGGGCGGGCTGGCAGCCGGCGACAGATACGGACACACATCCTGCACACACACACACACACACACACACACACACACACACACACACACACACACACATCGTCAACATGAATAACGCAGATTTAAAGCTGCAAGAAGACACATTTGTATTATTATCATTATCACCTCTTCATCGTCAGAGGACTGTGGGGGGGTCACCAGGGGGGTTGGCTCAGGCGTGTTGTCATGGTGACGGAAGTGATGAACCTGAGAGGAAGAATATAAGAAGAATAAATACAAGTGTTACAGTTTCTCTTTTCTGACACAATCACAAAAATGTAAAAATATCTCCCTCTCTGAAATGTACATTTTTGCCCATTAAAAAAAAAAAGTTCTGAGTCTCACCTCAGCGTTCAGAGGGAAGCCCAGGTCCAGAGCGCAGTGATGAGGACTGCTGCTCAGACTGCTGCCCCCTCCTCTCTCTCCTCCCCCTCCTCTCTCTCCGCCTCGCTCGCCCCCAGCTCCATGAGCCGAGGCGGGTCGGACCAGTCCCATCAGAGACGCCCGGAGCTGACTTTTAGTTTGGCCGTAGCCCTGCGTCTCCCCGAGGAGGGAGCGTGGTTTGGGGAGGGTGGAGACCGGGTCCCTCAGCAGGCGAGCCTGAGGCCTCTGGACCGCTGATGGGTCGGATACCTGATGAAAGGGGGGGGGGGGGTCAAGGTCGGGACATGGGACATGGGACATGTGAAAGTTAA